AATAAACAAAATGTTAAATGTTAGGAGTGAATCTGGTCTGGATTACAGCTGGTAGACAGGTGTAGAGGAGAAGTCAACAGAAGGTAGTGACCTCCTGCACACTCGGCACTTTCTAATGAATATAACGCTGACCGTGCGTGGGAATCTTTATGGAGACAAAACATAAGGAACAGGTAAAGTAACATATTGTCTTTTAAATCAGGAGTTATCAAGAAATAATCAAATGCTTATTTAGACGTGTGAAATCTGACTTACTATTCTGATACTAGCTTATAGTATAATGTAATTATTTGTACCAATAATAACATATGCACCAGTTAAATGAAGTCACATGTTTTTATGCATACATTACACCACACTCGACTACGGCATGTTTGAGGTGTTGCCTATGCAGACCAGAGACAGACAGACAGATTTAGCTGCTGACAGACAGACCATACGAAGAGCACAGTGGGTGGTCAAATATGACCCAGGGGGGGATATGAGGAGTGGTGGGGGGGGGGCATAAAAAAGAGAAAATGTGAGATATACTGAGAAGTAAAGGAGATACAATGGGGGGGCAAAGGGGTAACAAGAAGAGGGAGAGGGTGAGGGAGAAGCAATGGAAGAGGACAGTAAGAAAGAAAGAAAGAAAGTGAGAGGTGGGGGGGGCACAGTAACCCCCCAGGCCAGGCTATCTGACACCGCACAACAACCTCCATCAGGCCAGCTGACCGCTATTTACAGCATGAGGTGACCCGGCAGGCGGCAGCTGTACATGGGGGGGGGGGGGGGGAGACACACACAGAGACAAGAAATAGTACGAAAGAGAAGGGGGGGCTTTATTTATTAATTAACCCTTTTTTTGAGCAGGCAGGACACTCGAGACGAGAGGGAATGAGTGAGGGAACAGTTCCTGTCCCAGTCACACTGAGTGGTGCAGGAATGAGTTATTAAAGTAGTGTAAATATGTTAGGATTATCATTCTGAACAAAACTTTTAAGCATCATAAATGTTTGTCTGCCACAGTTTCTTTTCTAATCCATTCATCCTTGCACTACTCTATTTGTATACAAATATCCTTGACCCCACTGTCCATCTGTCTGTCTCTGTCAGTCTGTCAGCCTGTCAGTCTGTTAGTCTCTGTGTCTCACCACCCGGTGGACCATTCCAGGACATACAGTATTTACAAGCGCTATATTGGGAAATCAAACTTCTGCGGCCTCTAACTCATCTCAGCACGCTGCGAGACATTCAGTGTCACGGCCACACAAACAACACTTTCACCCAGAGCACATTCAGCCTGGGCGAGGTGGAACTGACAGGAGCCAGGGAACTATTGGGGTCCTGATTTTTTACAAAGAAGCAAGGACAGAGAGGACTTCGCTAAACTAAAAGGAACATTCTGAAGTCAAAAGGACAATTCCATTTCTTGTAACTTCACTCCTTTTCAGGAAAAAGTATTGTAATCTTTGCACACCAAAATGTATCCAAACAAGGCCTGAATTCGGATGCATATTAGCTGTTCAACCAAACACACATTTCGAGTCTAAACACATGCTTTCAACTCAATAAAGGCAGAAACAGTTTGTCCCAAAGTGGTAAAGTTATCCATTCTACAATATAACAATCACTGCCGGACCCCACAACATTATATCCAACTGAAAAGGGGCCCAACCCCTACAGTATGTTGGGACCGGTCGGGACCAAAGCCCAACTGTTTACTTTCCTGAGACAGGACAATTCATATTAGGGTCTGCCACTGAGGCCTGCATCTCAAACACCAGTCTATTTCAATCCTAATGTACTGTATAAAGCATACCATTCTATTGATGTAACACACATGGGGGTGTCACTTACAAAATATAAGAGAGCTACACCCAATGTCTTTCTGCAGTAAGTGATCATATTACACGAGACGTATGGTTCCTGTTCTTCATCAGGAGTGTATATTCATATTAAGTCTTTCGAAGTACATAGGTTAACCCATGTCCTCTATGGGGGGCAGTGCCTTACTTCTAACATTCCATAATTTAAAACCTCATACACAGAGCACTGAGTGCACACACACACGCGCACACACACAGGGACTACCAATGAAATGCTAGCAAGGTCACAGGCATCAGCTGTTTTTAGATTTGACAAAACCCTGTGTCAACATCCTCTTTAGAAGGAAATACATAGTGCTCCTGGGAAATGTAGTTCAACATTTGCCACAGCAATCTCAAAAAGTAGAAGTACTTTTTTCAACCTAAAAGCATGAAAGATCATCTGACTGGACCCAAATAAAATTGTTTTGTCTCATCATCCCCATCCATATTTCAGAACTCCACTTCCTGTGACAGCTGTCAGTGTGATGGTGACAGTGTGTCAAAGTGTGTGTTTAAGGAGTTGTCAGAGCATCCTCAGCAGTCAAACACATGTTTTTTCACACATGTTTTTTCACACACACACACACACACACACAATGAAGCTGTTCTACCTGATCGACACTTGATGATCTCTCCAAACTCGTCCTCCACCGGCTCGTTGCAGTAGTCCTCGGGACGCACACCCTCCGCCATGGGTCACAGGGCACCGGGTTTTAAAAGTTACAAGGTGGGGGGGGGGGTTATTAACCCACAGGTAAATCCACCAGGAGATGGGGATAAGATCCAAAGTACAAATCCAGAACAAACAGCCAAAAGTTGCCCGATGTGAAGACAGGAGCTCCGGTGGAGGACGAAGGCTGGGTCTCTCTGACAGGCGGGTGGACGGGGCAGAGCAGGTGTTCGGGGGCTGGGGGTCGCAACATTCCCACCTCGAAATAGTAGGATGCTAGGAGGTGGTCTCCTCGGGGCCCAGACTGGTTCAGAGGACGCCAGGCGTAAAACCCGACACCCTGCGGACATATTGCCGCTGACGCTTGTTTCCGGAAGATGAGCTACATGCTAAAGATCAGAGCGAACCGACCTGGGGTGACCTCTGACCTCAGGTGGACGTGGCAACCAGCGTGAACACATTTATATCAAAACACCACGGAATCCAGCTTCACATTTATGTTTAAAGTAGAAATACCACATTTTTGGAGTGCTGGATTCAACATTTTAATTAAATAAAAATACAAAAATATATTTTAAGTACCAAAAGTATCATGTAACACCTGTGTCACGGTGGGTCCTTATGGGTTAAAAGTAATGGCCAATCTTACAATAATAAGTGACTGGACTATGATTATTAAAAATGCTAACTTTAGTTTGTATACTGCTGTTGCATATATTAACCTATATTTAGCCTACATATGTCAATATGTTTATTTACTAGTTAATTTATATTTTGTATTAGCTAATAAACAACATTTATGAAGTAACTAAGACTGTCAGATACATGTAGTTGAGTATGTAGTAGTATAAAGTAGCAAAACTGGAAATAAGTAACTCAATATTGTACTTAAGTACTGTACTTAGTTCATGGATTTCGGTCATAGATTATTCAGCAACAAAGATTTGTACATTAAAAACCAAGCCTGGTATTCTTGAGCTTCAACATGATAAAATGGTTGATATTCACTGTGCAGAGAGTGTGTGTGTGGGGTGAGGGGGTACAGTGGTTACATGGCAGCACCGTTACACACGTACTAATATTAGATTTGCTGATAAACTGATATACCCACTTTGGGTTTCCTGGCTTTTCAAAAGTAGGACTTGGTTACTGTAATGGCTCCATTACGCACATTGGTGCTGCTATTATTAGAAACGATGCAGAGAATGATCCACACACTCCCAGATACATTCAGCCTGCAGGGAGCTGTGAGAGAATGTTCCAGAAACAGAAGGCCCGGCACTGACTGGCATCCCGAGCAGCCGGCTGGGCCCCCTGACTGCTGTCTGGGGTGGGGGGGCTGCCCCTGCTGGGCTTGGGGAGGAGATATATTTAGAGGAACACTTGTGCTTTGTTGACATTGCCTTCACTTTCATATTCTGTTTGGATAACTACCTTTTTTCACTCACTCAAAGCCTGGTGCACCTGTAACCACACCCACTTCTTTGATGTCATCATAATGTACATTGACAGGGAGCTTCCACTACAACAGCAACCTGAAATCTGATGGTCTAACTGCTTTTTAAAATAGAATTAGTGTAACACTGACACTTTTAAATGTCAATAAAAGATCACAAAAAGAAGATCAATTCATTCGTTTTTTGTTTCTGAGCTGTCAATCTTCTGCCATTTACTTTAAGTGTTGCATTATGGGAAATAGTGTTTGTATCCTGACATTTTTAAGTAAACTTAATTTAGTGGTCGCACTGCTACATTCTGAAAATCAGTTTCTCTGGGTGGTCATGTCAGAGTGTGGACAGCAGAGGGCAGTATAAGCACAGATTTTACATTACAAGTCTTAACTAGGCCATTGAATCTTGGAAAGATTCAACACTCCTTGATATCATTTTTATCTCAATTCTTACATCCTTGCAGTGATGTACAGGTGTTCCCTGAGCTCTCCGTACGCCATGGCATCAATAGCAAGTTTCCCTTCACCTTTTAAAAAGTGAAAAAGGTAATACATTGATGTGACAAGGTAACACAGTCTACTTACTTGATATCCTTGCACCCACTTCTTCTGCTTTAATGGCACCCAACAGAAGAATGATTACCACCACCGGTTTATTTTGAATGCAAGCAAATCGATCAAACAACAGGAATACTTAGAAATATACATAAATTAAAAATGTATTTTGCTAATTTGGAGGGAAACTAGTGTTGACTTTGGACATTGAATGCACCAGGTACACCGCCATATTAATAAGCATTTATACTCATTGTAAAAAAGAACACAACATATTTAAAAATGTCTATCTTAGTGGTGGTTTTCCTTTTTTCTGAGAGGTCTTACACCTGAACCACAGTCCATTATGAAAGGGTTTATTGTGTTGAATTTAGCTTACAACAATCCTGGTTCGGTAAATAATACTAAAAGTTAAGTAATCGTTTCAACGCTCACAGGATGTGACAACAAAATGAGACACAGAGTGATGCAGAGACATTCTGGTTAGTGCTTTAATGTGCCAACGTACAAAGAGATAAATGCTGATTACTGACATCACATCGCTACAATGGCATCTAAAACATGCCAACACACATGCACACACACACTCTTTCTGTCATTCACACACACTTCCTAAATCCCTATGCACATCATTAGACAGTGTTTTTCTCCATTATACTGGGAGATGAGCGTGTACTTTTCATCAGTAAATGAATAACCAAACAAATGCTAATAACTACAAGTCAGACCTGGGCTAAAACATACAATCTAATAATGGGTAGAACATATTAAAGGCTAGTTCTGTGTTTGTTCCACATGAACATACCAGCCTGGATATTATTTTCACCCTGAACCACATGGAAGTGCTTCATTATAAATCAAAGCATGTAGGTCATTTTTGAAACTGGTGCGAACATATTTGCTTTGTCATTTAGAATCAGAGACTCAAAACATGCAGCTTTGAGAAGTTAGGGTATCTTTGTTTTATGTAAGTGCTGTAGAATTGTCACTTTGAATCTTGGATAAAAGATGTATTAATAACAGCAGATGTATAATGTTAAACTACCTGGCAAAATAAAACTGTACATCTTAACTCTGTCTGGGTCAACTCCCTTTGACTGTGTCTAAAGTGAGAATAAAAGTGCTGTAGCGTCAGACTAAATCAATAGCTGTTTCAGTGCATCAAATATCAGTTTTATACCCATGGAAGAGGGCCACATTCTCATTGAGATCTGAACAATAGTGATTTTTTGGTTTGTTTTGTTCCGATCTAAAACAAATTAACACGTGGCCCCAATTCTCTTCCGTTAAACCAGTGTGAGTTTGAAATTTAAACGTTTAAAATGCGAATTCCTTCCATTACTGTCACATATGTGGATATTGTAAATGTAAAGTGTTAGTGTATATATTAACCCAGGTCTGTTACAGTGTTAATGCCGAATGCTTCTCTACTCCACCAAAGCACAGAGACGTTTCTAGGTAGCAAAAACACCGTCACTAATCTGTGATCATTCAGTATTCAATACTGATCAACTGCTGAAATACTGGTCTCATGCTGAAAAGCTGTTATAGCTTAAGGAATAAGTGCTTCTGTTTTACTCAGTGCTAAAAAAAAAAAATCCACTTACAAGCAGGAGTTTTTTCTTCCCAGAAGACCCATACTTTCATTTGACATCCACCAGTTTAATACTAGAATATACACAGTGAATTTACAGCATGAGGTCTATGGGAGTCTGAACAGGCTTTTAAAGTGAGAGTAAGGGGCTTCAACACATCCTTTTGGCAAATCAGTTGTTGCTCAAATGAGCTGCTTTTAGAAGCAATGCTGTTGTGGTGACAGGCAGAACTCATCAGGGACAACCGACATCATTGTGGCATTTATATGGAATAAATGGACAGCCGCACAGCTCTTCATTTGTTAAACTGGCGGGGGAGGCGGCCTGGATCCTATTTTTGGGTCATGGTTTCTAGACAGAATATGCCACAATGGAGAGCGCAGACAAAAGCCGCTTGAATCTCCGAAATGTCACCTGGAGGAGTCTTATTTTGCATTCGGCTCCCTGTGCGCTTTTTAAATGACAGAATGAATGAAGAATGGAGGTCACGGGTTCCACAGGAAATGGAAATAGGTTTTTGCACAGTGAAAGCTAAACATATGCGTTATCACCTGCTTCTTTGGGAAATAAAATGTGTATAGAAGTACAGTGTTTACTTCTCCATCCATATTTACATTCCAACAATTACATTAACAATGTAATCAGTTTTCTATGAATGTGATTTTAAGTTGGGTTAGTGCATTTTGACTCAACAGTAACACACAATTGCAGCTTGTTGGAGCAGAAAGCATAACCAATACAATTATAATGTGTGTTTTTAACAATGAGTTCAGAGCCACACACTCATATAGTTTGCTCAGACTGCAGTTGGTAATAAAAAGGAAGTGATTTTGGATTTTGCTCTAAACTCAAATGCCACCATATTGACTAACAGCTAAAGGCCACATTTTCTATCTAAGCTGGCAACTTACATTTATGAAATTAGGTGTTTTTGTGAATTCTCTTCAGCTCAAGGCATAATCACATTATTCCACTTTCTTAAACTATTGATGTGCACTCAAGCCCCCCCTGCTGGGAGATCTGCCGGTGGTGTAGCGGACGCAGTGGAGCTGGACCGAGGCGGACGGATGCTCCCAAAGTCACGGTGTGGACAAACAGGCCTCATTGGGAATCGAACTTTCAGCAGTCGCTTGGAGGCGGCTTTACGCAGGCCCATCTCACACCTCCGGCCGAGGCTAATCAATCATGATGGCTCCGTGTCGGTTGCCTCGGTTACAGACGACGGTCGATGACAGAATATTGAGCCGGTGTCTTTGTTTTATCATCCACCAATCTGTCGTATGAAAAGTTATAACTGTAGATCCTCTTCCGTGTCCTTGTGAAAGTTTACTCCAGATGAAGAAAAAGTGCTAAGCTAATGATGCACTGATGGGGCAGGAGGGGGTGGGGGGGGGGGGTTAAAACCCCTGGNGGGGGGGGGTGTTAAAACCCCTGGAGGATTGGATGATGACAGGTGAAGATACACGTTCCGTTGGATGTGCATGTGTGCGGAAAAAGCCACTCATGTTTCCTCTACGACAGAATCAATAAGTGGGGCTGATAGTTGCTATCCTTTGTTACTGCAGGTGTAGTATGACCCCTCCCCATGATACATCTGGTGACATTAGGGCTGGTTCCAATATGCAGCCTCACTTCTGTTCACCGAGGCAAGAAAATAAATCCTTGACAACCAGCTTAACCCCTTCAATTGCCCCCAGGGTTAATTGAAATACAGTTATCGGCTCAAAAATGTTTTATAGTACTCTTTACAGTTCATGGGAGATGAGTCATTTTCCCCCTTGAATATCTTATGTTCTCAGCTTGATTTGGAGCTAGTAATACTCCTCGTAGTTCTTGGGGTTCAGGCAGTAGAGGATTCCCCCGCCGAAGGAGAAGATGGTCCCCCCCCAGGCCAGGCCGTAGCCCCAGTTGAACTCGTGGTAGATTCTCAGGTTGATGCTCTGGACGAACTTGATGGGGTAGAGGACCAAGCTGAAGGCCTGCAGGACCACTGGAGGGGACAGGAAGACCATAAGTGTCATTTATTAAAGGAGGCATATACAGTATAATGGACAGAACAAGAATATGTTTACATGCTGTAATATTAAAAGAAACACATTATTTTTCTCATACTTTCTATCTGTATTGACCTTCTGTCAGAAACACACTGTTTTAGCGCCTGTCTCTAAGGCCCCTCCTGAAAAAGACCACTTCTGATTGGTCAGCTGTACTTTACTTCACATTTGTTAGCAGTCACGTACAAACACTTGAGGAATTCTAGAGAAATAGCAGAAATTAGCATCGACTGAGTCGTGAAGAGCCTCGGGGGAATGTCATTTAGCTCTGTTTAGTTCATTTAGCACGGCTTTGAAAAACAAAATAAATCAAACTGAATCAGGCAGGAGGCAAGGAGCAGGGCTGAGGGAGGAGGGAGGGGGGAGGAGGGAGGAACAGGAGGAAGAGACAGAGGTGGACTACAGGCTCCAAGGACACAGGACGAGTTTGATGAAGAGATGAGGGAAAAGATGGACGAGGGGGGTGAGAGATAAATATATAAAAAGGGAGGGGGGGTTGGATGGCAGTGGAACAAAGGAGAACACATCAATTGTTGTTTCTTCAAAGGGAATTCATCTTGTGGGAACGCAAACAAAAAAACTAACACGGGATACATAACATCCAAAAACATGCAAACATTACCACAGATTGTGTGCAATGCAGCTTTAAAGAAGTAGTTAGTTGTCAAGAAAAGTGTATGTGATCCATCTTTCCCCGAGGGGTATCTTTAAAGTCCATTCAACACACTTTGCCTCTGTGCTCCGCTTTTAAAATATCTTTTACAGATGTTGTTTGTGTTCCATCACGGCAAAAACTACTTTATTTTGACAGCTAGGGTTTTTTGTGCGTTTGTTTGTTAGTATTCATAGATTCTATCCCTGTTTTGCTCCCTCTAAAATGAAGCTGAATGCTTTAAATATTGATTTAATTGCACCAAAGTTCATGCTAATTAAAATCCTTCTCTAAAGTTTTATGATGTGCTGTTATAATTATGCAAAACAAAATCCAGCTACAACAACTTCTTCAAGTTTGTGTCTTATTTTTGTGTTTTTTGGCGCTTTTTTTTTCCACCTTCAACCCTGAATATTCAACAATATAAGGAAATGGAAACCCCAAAAGTCACAATAGGGACTTTTTAACATATCAATCCTACTGTAAGTAACAAATATAAATATGTTTATATCCAATCTGCTTTAAGCACTTTTACTTTGTATAGATGCATTGAAAGTATTTCCAGGATAAGAAGATTCTTTGAGAAATCACACAGATTCTGAATTCTCCAAAACCAGCCCTTTAAATAAGATTGTCTCCTTGTTTTTTCACTTCAGTGGCATTCAGAAGGCAAGACATCCAGCTTTGGAAAATCAAACATTTCACGCCTAAAAATAAATACAATTTCCAATTATTCCGGGAGGTTAGAACCCGGAAAAAGGAGGAAACTTGTCAGTCGTCCAACTTGAGATTTGGGCTGGCGGGGGAAATTAAAGGGACAGGCATGACTCTCCGCTCTGACCCGACTTATAAAAATAGGATTTTCTTTAAATGAGTTTGAGGGAGAGAAGAAAAAAGTGTGTGTAAACCTGAGTGTGTGTAGTGTGGTCTGTGTGCACATTTAATAAGTAAGGATTATCATTTAAATGCATGTCAGTTTTCAATGTGATACCTTCAACCTTCCTATTACCTTGTCTAAATTGGCTAATTAAGTGTGTAAGTGTGTGTTGTGTCATCAGGTGTGCATAACGTGTGTGTGGCCTCAGACCCAGACCTGCTGAGTGTGTATTGACAGCAGTTCATTGTGTGTGTGTGTGTGTGTGTGTGTGTGTGTGTGTGTGTGTGTGTGTGTGTGTGTGTGTGTGTGTGTGTGTGTGTGTGTGTGTGTGTGTGTGTGCTGACCTGCAGCGAAAAGCATGGAAGCGACGGGTGCGTAGAATCGTCGTCTCGTGCCGATGCACACGGCAACCAGAGCGACCAGGAATGACATCAGCACCAGGGCTCCACCCCCTAGCAACAGGGCCAGCGTAGCAACCTGCCAGTCTGGAAAACAGAAGGAGAAGAAAAGACCAAAGGTTAAAGTGATGGATGACAGAGAAATTGGTAAAGAGAAGAAGAACGTGACAAAGTAACAGAGGGAACAATCATGAATAAATGCAATATTGTATAGATAAAAATGAAATGCAAAAAATCCCAAGTGGGCCTGGGACGAGAGACAGAGCCACGAGAAACATATCATTTGATTTTGATATTTTATATCACTGCCTTTACCACAAGCCCATCAAGTATGTTGATTACATGCAGAACAAAGGAGCAGGTGAGGACAAGAGGAAGGTATTAAAATGGAAGGCGTAAGGAATTAGGACAATGATGTAAAACAAGGAGACAAGATGATAAAAAAAGGATAGAAAGTTGAAGGAAAGATGGGATAAGGGAGATAAAGAGGGAGGGGGCCGGGTAGGAAAGAGGCAATGAAAAAGAATGATGGTGGAATTAAGGAAGCATGAACACATAAAAGAAAGTGAAGGTAAAAACGGAAAGCAAGGGGACAATTTAAGGGAAGGAAGGAAGGTTGAAGGGAATGAGAGGGATGGGATTAATCAAAGGATATAGCAGGAAGGATGTGAGGATGATGAAAGGAGGAGGAAGATGAAGGAAGGTGGACTGAAGTTAGGAGAAAGAGAGAATGAAAAGGAAAGAAAAAGGGTGTGATGTCCTTAAGGGAACACTTAGAAGGAGCAAGGACGGAAGAAAAAGACAGGCAGATGGAAGGGAAGGCAAAAGGAAAGAGGGAAGACGTGAAAGAGCAAGGAAGAGTGTTTAAAAAACAAAGTTAATAATGGATCAAAGTGGGAGAGAAAACCGACAGAGACAAGTTAAAGTGAGATCAGGAGAGGTTTGGTGGCGATGAAGCGTCTCTGATAATGCTACAAGGACAGAGGGCAGGATGAAAATAAATGCCAAAAGGAGGTGGAGAAGAGGAGGGGTTGCTTGTGGTGAAGGCCGAGGAGGAAGAGGAGGAGGTGGGGGGAGGTGGCGTGAAGGTGCGGGGGACCGAGCAGCGCTGAGTGAAAGTAATGAAGAGAGGGAGAGAGCACTTAGTATACCTGAGCTGACAAAAAGCCTTGGCGAAAAAGCTTTACTGGCACGTTATCAAAAATCTGTCCGCGTTTATATATAGGGGAGCACTGTGGCGCTGGAAACACACACACACACACACACACACACACACACACACACACACACACACACACACACACACACACACACACACACACACACACACACACACACACACACACACACACACACACACACACGATGTCACTTTGCTTTTTGTTTGGCCACACAAGAGAGTGTCACAGTGGAATTCCTCTATATACAGTATCTTCATTATCATGGGGTATTTACGTCCATTTCAAGGGACGGAGAAATTAGAACTCCCATAATAGCGACATTTTGCAAAGCTCTTGTACAATGTACGGCACTTTCTTTATTAATACATCTTATTGTGAACTAGAAAAAATGGTCTCCGGCTAAAGTTAGTGGGCTAAAGTTCACTTGGTTCTCTAAGAAAACAGATCAGTTGGAGTGGATGGATTTCACTGTGAAATGTCTCTATTTGCCATGCTGGTGTGACGGCAAGATATAGACACTAGATACAGACGGCTATATAGACACACATATAGGCTACGCACGTGCACACACACACACGCACGCGCACACACACACACGCACGCGCACACACACACACGCCTCATCATTAAATCCATCTGGGCTCAGGTGGAGAAAGGAGATTTGACCATTTCTCTCACCTTTTCTCCCACCTGATGCTGTCAAAGTGATCATGTAAGCTGCTGAAAAACCTATTTCTGCGCACAGCTGAACTAGGATACGATACATGAGAAAAGACGTTCATAAATAAAGTAACCCGAGCTCCTTAAGGAAATGCACAAGCTTTAAAGGCTTCAAACTTAAAGATATGGATCAAACAGCAATGAAATGTAGCTGTCAGTATTGAAGCTGTTTAGGTTGTGAAAATATAGTCGGGTGAAATGTACTGCCTTAGTTTGGTAAAAAATCTAATGAAAGACGGAAGATGGCGGGGGGGATAAGGAAAATGTGATATTTGGAGGTAGAAGGAGAGGTGAAAGATGAGATGCAGAGGTGGATAGTGGGAGGGAAGGAGGAAATTAAAATGAGAGAGGAGAAAGTGGGAAGAGAGGAAGATAGAGAGCAGGAAGAGGAGAGGACATTCAGAAGCATCTTGTAATTCAAATGGAAAGCAACCAGACATTTTCAATTTGACTGATGCTGAGGATTGTCTTCTGGACAAAAAACTAGATGTCTTCAAAATAGTCGCAGGAAATGTTGCCCTCTATACGCAACACAACAAGGACAGAGGTAGGGAGGTAGAGGGATACAAAAGGGGCTTAGGTGGGATATCAGTCCTTCGTATTTAACTTTCCTCGAAGCCATAGAGCTGAAGCAGCCACAACCAATCAAATGTCAGCATGAAATTGGAAGGAATCCAATATACAATCGGTTATGACAACAAATGTGTTCATACTTTAGTCACATTTCTCTCTCAGACACCCTGAGGCAGAATTGGCTTTTTTATACGTGTTTCGTGTGAGATTTGCAGGAAAAATGAGGCTAGCCTAGTTAGCCTAGCTCGTCAGTATCAACCAAGATCTTCCTTATTTGAATGTAAAGACACATACTGTAGCCTACTGTCGCTAAAAAAATACATTAACCTCACCCCCTCTTTCTCGCTCACGCACACACGTGCACAAAATGGCTTTAACCATAAAACTCTTTGCAGTTTAGCTCTCATACATATTCAAAGCCTTTCTTCCCTGTCTCTCTATTCCACACATGGCTGGTTTGAAGTTTTAAAAATGTATCACGGGCACATATAGGAACCGCACAATTTGTCACATGTACCGTATGAAACCTCGTTCTTTCTCACACACACATACACCTGTACACTGGTTGGGGTATGTAACTTTTTAATTAGTGCCTGCACCAGCTTCTCACACACAGTGAGCTGTTCTCACTCGCAGGGAGAAATACCTCGTGCTGTAAGGTGACTGTTTGTCATGTGACAGGATTACTGCGCTGCACTGTCACATTCTCTCTTTACTGTAAAGAACTGCAAAACAACCAACAACCAAGATATGTAAAGCAACGAAATCCAGTTTGATTCCAAGTGAACATTGCAGATACAAATTCAAAAACAAGGAAATGATTTAAAAGATATACAATAAATAAAAGTTACAGTTGTGTTCTTGAGTCCAACAAGTATGGTGTGTATGCGCTGCTGCTGCTGCTGCTGCTGCTGCTGCTGTACTGCTTTGAAGCTTGATTTGCATCCACCAAAAGGATTTGATGTGTTTGGGCCCATGCATACCCCTTTCTCAACCATGCCCCCAGTGTGTGTTTGTGTGTGTGTGTGTGTGTGTGTGTGTGTGTGTGTGTGTGTGTGTGTGTGTGTGTGTGTGTGTGTGTGTGTGTGTGTGTGTCTGTGTTTGTGCCCACTTTAAGATTTTTCATCTGAAGGCGTGTTCTATTTGTCAAATATGACGGCATTCGACTCGAGGATTTCTGTGTGGCGCTGATTTGATCTCACACGCTGCTGGTGATTGAAGTGTCTGTCGGCCACTGCCATCAGTATCAAACATCCTGACGTAACGTTGCTTCATCTATCGGTTAAAGTGATGGCCATTTTGTCAGAGTGGCACATAAATGTTGCATGGCTTTATTCAGATATGACATATATAGAAAGTGGCGCTGCTGGAGAAGTGAGTTTGAGGAAGAAAAGAGATTTCATCAACATAAAAGCTGTAATTATGACTGGGAAAATCCACATATTTTTGAAGAAGCTCCAAAATAATACCTATTATCATTCCACCTGCATCAGTTAGCAATGAAACTCCTGTTTTAATTGCTACAGCTGGTCTTTATACAGCAGTTCTGCAGAGTCAGATGTTTCCTTTATGCCTTTGTTTTCCATCCCACTCTAATTAATCAGCGGCTATGCTGTGCATGTTGTAAACTGAACATTTCTCACTCTGATGGAGGTGTTACGATCTATGTGCATACATTACATCTGATGCTTGTTGTTGGGGGCGAAGCATTTGTGTAAAGCCTGTTGGTGTTCCCTTGGGTCTCGAGAGGACCATTTAAGCCCGTTTACAGTAATATCATTTTTCTAATGTTTCTTCTGTGTAGTTCAAGTTAATGTAATGAGGTGGCTCTACTGTAGTTGCTCTACTTGTATGTGTTTTGTTCTAGAACAAGCCAAATTATACTAGGTTTTTTTTTTTATTAAAGATCTATGTGTGTGTGTGTGTGTGTGTGTGTGTGTGTGTGTGTGTGTGTGTGTGTGTGTGTGTGTGTGTGTGTGTGTGTGTGAGTGAGTGTGAGCAACAACAGAGAAATCAGAGTGTGACATGAAATATTCAGCTGGGCTTCAGAGGAGACGGTCCAGAAATAGGTCAGCTCGACGTGGGAGCCTCTTATTGGCACACACACACACACACACACACACACACACACACACACACACACACACACACACACACACACACACACACACACACACACACACACACACACAAACACACACACACACACACACACACACACAC